TGCTGAAAATTCAGCTTTACATCACAGGAATAAATTACATTTTCAAATATTCAAATAGTTCTTTTAAATTGTAATAATATTTCACAGTATTACTGTTTTTACTGTTTTATTGATCAAATTAATACATCTTGTGTGAGCGTGAGACTTCTTCTATTCCATAGACGTCCATTGTAAGTGCATTACTGTAAAATCTTGTGCTTACTAACTTAGGGACACGTTTAAATTATTTTCTGTGGTAATCGATCTTAACTTGAATTGAAAGTGGATGCTATGTAATGGATAAAGTCTTGGCTCATGTAGCTGACCCTAGATCAGCAGAGTCCATCCTGTTCAGCTCAGACCAGCCCTGTATTGCATTCAGCACAAGATTAATGGAGAAATGATTCGGTGCTGAACAACTCTGACATTTATTTGGAACTTCTGGAAGATGGAAATGAGCCTTAATAGCTTATATTAATCACTCATACATGTCAGTAATCACCCAGCTCCTGTAGTGACATCTATAAATGCAAACGACTACTGGGATTCAAAGATGCATTTACAGATAGGCTTGTTTATGTGTGATAAAAACTCTCTTCAAAATCTAGTGAGTTGCCCATTTAGTAAGCATTTAAAGCACGTTACCACAGAGAAAGCCATTCCAAAAGTAAACAGCATGATCATGCATTTTCACCACATTCTAAAGCATTATTACAAGTATCTTTTGTAGAGAAGACAATGTATTGGGACAAAATTAGGGGGGTCCAGAAAAGAAAATCCAGATTTAGTTTAGTCTGATAAAATCCAGTATTTGTGTATGCTATGTTTTGGAACAGAGCCACTGTGTTTGACTGTGTCTCTCTCTCTCTCTCTCTCTGTCTCTCTCTTACAGACCTTGGTCTGGATCAGTTTGTGGTGAAACGCTATGATGGAAAGGTAAGCAGTGCGATCTGTGTGCGTGTGCATATGTGGGCGAGTGAGTGGGAACCGAATAGTTACTTTGCCATTGTGCAGCTCGACAGGATGACGCAGGATGGAGACGTTTGTTCTCATTCACTCTTCATAAAAATCCTTCACTCTCTCTTCACAGAAACTCATCCACAGCTCAATCGTGAGCACGCTCTGAGACGTTCACTCTTGTGCAGTCTAAAAAAACTTGTTGCATGCTTGAAACATTTTGCATGAAGTTACACATACATTCTCATCAGGGACATTTGTTGTCATTTATAATGTTGTGTGTTTTGTGTACTTTACAAAAGACTGGTCTGCATCCAATCTCTGCTTTCTGGTTCGTGTAGTTTCTCTTTGTTCTTGATGTCTCTAGGTTACAATTTTTAAACACACCTCTGCTGTGTCTATCTTTTTACATGTCTATTCTTACCTCAAATGCTTGGTCTCTCTGTTTTGTTTTGTCCTCTAGTAACAGAAAGGTACAGATTTAGTCATTTTGGTCAATACCAAAATCAGATCATTCATTTTAGAGAACAAATGCTTCCGATATTATAAATCTGTCCTTTTTTTTTTTTTGAACAAGTTGTTAGCTAGTGTTGGGGAATCCATCATTTTTCAAGCTACAGTATAATCATTATTTAAAATAATTAAATATAGTCTCTTAAAATTAAATCTAGAGAATAGTAAGAGAGCTCTGCAAGCTGCTGGCGAAAAAAAAAAAGTAACTAATTACATTGAAGCTATTTTATAATTTTGCATAATTTATTTAAAAATATATGCAAGTTGTGAGTTTAGTTACTTAAACAGCGATTTTACCTCCTCGTTGATAAGTAATATAATGCAGCGATCCAGTATCTAAGCTATTTTATTAATAAAAGTCGCAGGGCAGCGTTGACAAGAAGTTTCTGTACTCCTGTTTCTGTGTGTGCGCAGTGTGATCTCTGATCTCTCTCTCTCTCT